TTCAGTCCGCGCCTGGCCCGTTTCAGCTTGCCCCTGCCTTCGGCGTCATCCCAACATACAGTCGGGGCCCTGAACAAGGAACCCCTTTCGTTGGGGAGGGGCTCCGCGTTCCTTAAGTGTTTCACAGCTTGCCTCAGGCTTTTCTTATGTTTCCGATAGGAAATCGAAGGTTAACTCATGGAAAAAAGGGGCCTCGTTCCTTACTTAGGGTTCCTTAGGTCAAGGCCCCGACTATACAGATACTACGTGTGCGTCGCCCCCCCATGGGCGACGCGGGTGCCGAGGAACCTTGTAGCAGAAGCTCGCTCGGTGGCGGGCGCTCTCTGGCCACACCGCTCTGGAAGCGACCTACGGCAAGATGGTGATGTTGAGTGTTCGGGTCGGACTGGAGCCTCCGAAGAGAACGCGCAGCACGTACTAGTATGTCCTTCGTGGGCCTGTTTTCCACCACCACCACCAGAAATTGGAGGGGGGAAGGAGGTGGAGAATGAGGAGGAGGACGAAGCGGAGGAGGAGGAGGAGGAGGAGGAGGAGGAGGAGGAGGAGGAGGAGGAGGAGGAGGAGGGGGAGGAGGAGGACCCCCTCCTCTTCTTCCTCCTCCTCCCTCCTACTTCTGGTGGTGGTGGTGGTGGAAAACAAGCCCACCAGTCCTTGTGCGTCTCAACGCTCCCCGCTGCCATCCGCTGCCTTCCTCTCTCTCTCTCTCTCTCGCCTGCGTGCAGGCGATCGCGCGCTGCGCGTGCCGCGGCCCTCGCCAGAGGTCGCTGGAGCGGCTGCCCTTCTCCGCGGGCCCGGCGCGAGGGAGGCCACGACAGCTACCGCGCGTCGCGAGGGAGGGCACGACAATTCTCGCGCGTCGCGGGGCGCGGTGCGCGAAGTCAGGCGGCTATGGTCTCTCCTCTCGTCGTCCCCGCCGCTGTCATTCTGTCGTCCTCTTTCTTCTGGGTTGGGGTCTCCCGCCTGTCCCTCCTCGTGTCCGTCGTATCCGTCTCTTTCTCTCTCTCTCTCTCTCTCTTCAGGTCTCGCCGCGGCCGCACGCTCTTTTTCTGCCATGCGCCGCGCTCCTGACTTTCACGACCGGCCGGCCGTGCTGTCGGGCCTGGAGTACCCCCAGGGGGTGTGGTGTTCCTTGCCGTGGCCCCCAGAGGTCCGGAGTTATTCCCCGGGACCGGTTTCTCATCCCGAGTCGCTCTGTTGACGGTCCCGAGGCCGGGTGAGGGCCCCCAGAGGCCGAAAGTGGCGAAGCACCTGCCGTTTCAATTTTTTGTTCCTGACCCGAGGGGGTCACGGCGCGAGGGAGGGCGGCGGAGGGAGGCTGAAGCAGAGGGGCCCCGAGGGGTGCGAGCTCCGAGCCACCTCGCCGCTTGCGGGCGCTCGAAGGGGGGCCCTCCCGCGGGCCAGGGGCGGGCCGTCGGGACGCAGCCAGGACGACTTGAGAGCCGGTCCCGGGGGGCGGCCCGCGGGGCCCGGGACTCGGCGGGTCCCCAAACGTGGTGGTGAGAACACCCGGTGGTGAGTCTGGGGCGAATTGGTGTCACCACTTCGGGGGAGAGAAAGATACGGATACGTGTCGTCCCCCGTCGTTTTCGGCCTTTCCTGGTCCTCCTGGGGAATCCTCGTTGTCACCGCTGGATTCGCCTCGAAATTCTGGTCAGAACGCACCCCAAGAGAGGTCCGGGGACAACACGTATCCGTATCTTTCCGCCCCCCAACCACTGGGTTTTGGAACTCGGGCGGTGTTTCGAGGATGTCTCGAGCGCGGGTGGTCCCGGGGATAATCACGAAACCCGGTGGTGACCCTGTGTCCCCGAACCTAGAAATTACGTTTTTGGGATTTCAGGTCACCACCTGGTGTCTCACCACCTGGTTTGGGGGCCACCAAGGGACCGGGGCTCCTCGCCTTCGCGCCCCGGGCTGGTCTCGGCGTTTGGGGGGGGGCGAGCTGCTCGTGGCCAGACTGGGGGCTCTAAGGGAAACATTCGGGGAACAGAAAGTGACATAAACATAAAAACTCGGAGGTCCGCGCGGATTTCTCGGATCGGCGCTGGGGCCCCCCGGGGCGCCTCCGGCGCCGCTCCTGGCGCGCTCCGCGCGCCAGGGAGGGGGGTCCATCGCCGATCCGAGAAATCCGCGCAGACCTCCGAGTTTTTATGTTTATGTTACTTTCCGTTCCCCGAAACACGTGCCCTCGCGTTCTCCGCCTCTGCCCTTCCGGGCGCTGCCGACGCCGCACACGGATCCTCGCTCGCACAGCCATGCCAGGGGGCATGCGATGCCCATGGCTCAAGGGAAGCGGCTCCTCGACCCCAGGGCCTCCCCCCGGGACCAGCTCTTGATCCTGAGTCGTTTTCTGACGGTCCCAGCCCCTGGAGGGCCCCGAGAGCCATAAAGCAGCGAAACACCAGAAGGACCTGCTTCTTCTGGGACCCGCTTGCTCGGTGGCGACCTCGGCAACACCCGACCTGCGCCGGTTCATTAGTTGCCCCGCATGGCGGGGACCGGCGGCTTCTTTTGGCATGGTGATGCTGGAGCTGCTGACCAGCCTGGCACCGGCCACCGCGGACCCCCGGATGCCGCCCGCTCGGAAGGCCTTGCGCTGTCGATCGGGGCTCCGTCGGGCCGCCGACCTGGCCGATGCCTCGCGCGGCGGTGGCACGGGGTCCCCGATCGGCGCTGGTGCTCCGCGCTCCGGGACAAGGCTCAGCGGCAAGTTTAGGGGGGGATAGGCTTAGGGATGCACCGACGCCCAATCGCGCATTCATCGACGATAGGGGCCCGATGTCCTGCGCCCGCCCAGTAACTTGCGGATTGGCTATCGGGGGCCTATCGCCGATTCATCCGCGGTGTATCGCCGATTCCAGCTCGATGCTTCCTCCCCTGTGCGAATCCCCCTTACCGTTGTCCCTCAAAGGTCGGGCCGGCGGGGCCAGGGCGAGGATTCCAGGCCGCCCGAATGGTTCCAACGCAGATCGGCTGTTGTCATTGAAGCAGACGGGTCCCGAGGGAGGGGGGTCCTGTGTTTTTTGGTTTTTCCGGCAGCAGCCGGGTCCTGAGGGGGGCGGGCCCTCTGTTTTTTCCGGGTTTTCTGGGTCTCGGGGCCATCTTCGGGTCCCGGGACCGTCAGAAAACTATTCCTGGGAAAGGGATGGGCAGGATGAGGAGGAGGAGGAGGAAGAGGAGGAGGGGGAGGAGGAGGAGGAGGGAGGAGGAGGAGGAGGAGGAGGAGGAGGAGGAGGAGGGAGGAGGAGGAGGGCGACGAGGAGGAAGAGGACCAGAGTAGTTAGATGATGATCAACATGATGCTGCTGCTGATGATGCTGATGATGGAAATTATGAAGATGATGACGCTGCTGCTGATGATGATGATGAAGATGAGGATGAGGATGACGGTGAGGATGACCATTATGATGAAGAGGATGATGGTGATGGTGATGATGATGGTGATGATGATGATGATGATGATGATGATGATTATGATGATGCTGATGATAATGATGATGGTGATGATGATGATGATGATGATGATGATGATGATGATGGTGCTTCTGCTGATGATGTGGACGATGCTGCTGATGATGCTGATAATGGTGACGACGATGATGCGGACGATGATGATGCTGATGATGATGCTTATGCTGATGCTGATGCTGATGCTGTGCTGCTGCTGCTGGCGATGATGAAGAGGAGGAGGAGGAGGAGAAGGCGTAGCAGGAGATGGAAGATGACCATAGTAGAGGATAATGATGATGATGATGCTAATGATGATGATGCTGATGATGCTGTTGATGAGGATGAGGATGAGGATGAGGATGAGGATGATGGTATTGATTATGCTGATAATTATGATGATGATGATGATGATGATGATGATGATGATGATGATGATGATGATGATGATGATGATGATGATGATGATGATGATTATGATGATGATGATGATGATGATGATGATGATGATGATGATGATGATGATGGTGGTGTTGGTGGTGGTGATGATGATGATGAAAATCATGATGATTATGATAATTATGACGATGATGATGGTGATGATGGTGGGGGTGACGATGATGATGATGATGATGATGATGGTGATGATGATGATGCTGATGCTGCTGCTGCTGCTGCTGATGATGATGATGATGATGATGATGATGCTGCTGCTGATGATGATGATGCTGATGATGATGTTGATGATGATGATGATGCTGAAGCTGATGCTGATGCTGATGCTGATGCTGATGCTGAAGATGCTGATGCTGAGGCTGAGGATGATGAGGAGGAGGAAGAGGAGGAGGAAGAGCATGAGGAGGAGGAGGAGGAGGAGGAGGAGGAGGAGGAGGAGGAGGAGGAGGAGGAGGAGGAGGAGGAGTAGATAAAGAGCAAGTTCGGGGGGAAAGACCCATAGGGTCCAGGAGCCGTCTCCTTCACCTTCAAGCGACACTTCTCTTGTATGCCAAGGAGGGCGTCCCTGACCCAGGCTAAGAGGAGGAAGCTGCCCAATGTTTTTTCCCCGGCCATCCTGCGATGTTGGGTCCCCTTTTTGGAGACGGCGCCCTGCTTCACGCCCTTTTCCCTCCTCTCCCTCCTCACTCCTCCAATCCATGCCTCTGGCCTCCGCATGTCGATGTCGGCGCACCCCACCACGCGTTTCGCGGCCCCCTGGGTGGCTACACCGGAGGCCCCGGTGATACAGTTTGCATGCCAAGGAGGGCGTCCCTGACCCAGGCTCACAGGATGAAGATGCCACAAGGATGCGCCCCGAGTTTTTTCCCGGCCATCCTGCGGTTTTGGGTTTTCGCTTTGAGGAGACGGCGCCCCGCGTCACTCCCTCATCCCTTCTCCTCCCTCCTCTCCCTCCTCACTCCTCCCATCCATAGCCGCCGTCCCGGCCCGAGAGGTTTGTGGGCGCCGTACCAGGTACGGCGAAGCCTCTCGCGCGGGACTGCTGCGACACGCGCCCGCCCCCCCCCCCGCGCCTCATCCGCCACGGCGCGCGGCAGGAGGGCCAGCCGTGAAGCAGGAGGCGAATCGGCCTGGCATCGTCGCGCCAGAGCCGATCGCGGCAGGGCCAGGACCCTGCCACGCGTGATCGCCGCCACCGATTTTCTCAAACAGCATCACAGCAGTATAACGTGGAGAACACAGCGCAGTCAGCCTGCGCGCTCGAGGCAACCATCCCGCCGCCGAGCTCCATGGCAGGGGCACCAGCAGAGTCAACATCGCCACCTATGGGAATGCCCCGCATGCAATCACCCCAACAAGTGGGATATGACCAAGTGCGAGAAGTGCCACCCGATGCAGCCAGCGACCAAGCCCGCTGCAGACCAAACAATGACGTCACCACCGTGGAAGCGTTCCAGCTCGCGCCGCCCGACACAGAGTGCAGCCACGGAGGAGGACAAGCTGATGAACATCCTGCCATGCTCTCCGGAGAAGGCCCGCGTCCACAGACGCTGGCAGCAACCTCCCGAGAGCCCGCACGAGTTAGGAGAATACAGGAAAGCTCTAGGCTCCACTTTGGAAGGCCTCGAGCGACAGATCAAGTGCTCACAGGAGCTCAAGAAGGACGAGACACAGGTGCAGGCGCTGCGCCACGAGTACGCGGTCGTGCTCTACCAGCTCATGTTCTCCCGCACGGCCTCCGCCCGCACGGCCAAGCAGCTCAGCTTCGTCAGCCGCGCCAAGCGCAGACTGACGGAGGCCACCCAGCTGCAGACGGAGGCGCAGCTATACCTGGACTCATGCGTTGCACAAGTGCTCGCAGTACACGAAGAGCTTGCACATGCAGAAGACTTTCTCGAGACTTTCAGAGATTTGGAAGACAACGAGGAGCAGGACAACGAGCGCAAGCAGGCCGAGGCTCGCGCCCATGCGGCGCCTACTCGGCGCCCGCGCGCCTCAGAGCACATGGACGAGGATGGCGAAGAAGACTCTGGAGAGGCGCCCCTTGCAACAGCATGTGCGCCTCGGTCACGTGCCAAGTGGCCAGCAACGCCAAGTTGAGGCGCTACCAGCCCCGCTACGCCTGCTGGCACACGCTCGCCAAGCATGCCGACCACCAGTCTCCCGCCTGGAGCTACACCATGTTCGGGTTCAGCGGATTCGAGATCAGAATTGCCTACACCAGGGCTGCTCGCGACCATGCAGCACTCACAGCAAGCACTGTTGGCCCAGCTCCTTGAGTTCAAGACGGCCATGGCGGACATCCAGAAGCAGCTCGCCGACGCCAGCCTGAACAGGAAGGCCGACCGAGAAGAACCCCAACGACATTTACAAGCAGTTCAAGCACCACCGACGCCGACCACTCCTACGACCAGACGGGACAACGACAAGTCAGCTTCCCCTGATGCACGTGCAGAGGGACGCAGGCGCCTGGAGGCAGCTTTCGCCCAAGGAGATGAAGCAAGTCGACCCAGGTCTACTTCCCCCCGACGCTCCCCAGGCCAGGCCCCGCCCAAGCAGGTCAAGATCAGTGACGAGATGGCGAGGGACTTTATGCACGCACGACCAGATGAGCCACATGAGATGGCAGCAGGCGAGGATGAGACGGACATGGCAGCACTGAGTGGTGCTGACAGCCCAGACGGCCAGAAGTCAGTTTTTCGCGTGGCAGCCAGCCCGCCCGCTCAATCTTAGCCTCGGCTGCGCGCGAAGCGCGCCCTGCTGAAAATCAGTCATGCTCGCTCAGGCCCCATCTGCTCCCTACCCCCAGCTTGCCTCTGTGCAGCATCCGACTCCAGCTAGCGCAACAGAGGACCGCTCGTTACATGAGCGTGGCTTGCATGCTTCAAGTTCTAAGCTGCCCACTCAGTCCCCTGACGCCCCCCCCCCAGAGGAGTTTAGCGATCGCTTATCCCTGACCTCCGACCCACCCAAGAGCTCATTGAGCGCCCTTGGCCCGTGCAACTTTCGAGGGGCCTCCTGTCGTGGGCCCCGTGCTGGCACTCGTCTTCTGCTCAGGCGCTTCCAGGTCTCATCCAGTATGATCCCAGCTTGGAGTCTACGCGGTTGGAAATCTACGCGGGCGCGACGGCGGGAGGGTACAAACACCATGGACAAGTTTGCGGGCCAGCTTGGGCGTTCTGCATCATCATGGCTGTTTTAATGCTCGGTGTCACGTTGCTAGGACGTTTGGCAGGGCCGCTCGCAGGCTGGGGAGCACGCGACCCGAGCGCCCCGCTGAGGGCTTAATTGGAAGCCGCCATTCGGACCATGACATGGGTCATGCAGCCCTCCCTCAGTCCACTCCGTGTCAGCTTGCTCGCTGACAATATGGATGTATTCAGAGTCTATCAGGGAGGATCTGTCAGAGGTGCCTTATGCTATACCAGGCTATTGCTCGACAGTCTGACACAATGTGTGAGTGCTCGTGTAGGTGCGCTTACCTTCCAGCATGTGCATGGTCATGTTGCGAGCCCGTGGGACGAATGTGCGGACGCTCTCGCGAGATTATGTGCCATGCAAGTGCTTCCCATTTTTTCGAACCACAGTGGCGCGCATTAGTGGAACAGGAGCCCCACCTGGGGGCTATGCCGCGGCTGTGGCTATGCTATGTCTCGCAGGATGTGCGTAGAGCCTTACCTCCCACAGCCAACCACCCAATCCCTGGTGCTACGGAGGCCCTTGCGGACCTCCAACAGATCATCCCTAGGCCCACCAAGACCTCCACTCGGAGATCCAAACGTCGCATCATCGAGTACTGGGTTGCGATGGCCAACGTGCTCGCCATGGGCCCCAGGGCCCTTCGGGCCCCCCAGCAACCCCCGCGACTGGCTGGCCTCAACATCGCGGGTCGTATGATGCAGCTGTCGGTTCTCTTTGCTGCCAAACCCTACACGCTTGAGGGCGCCGTGGAGACACGCATGCCCGGGACGGGGGTTGCACATGTGATGAGCTATCTGGTGCTACGCGCCGCTGCCCTACCGACGGGCGGGGAGGGATGCTCGCGATGGGTCAACACAGAATTGGAATCTGCTCCAGGTTGCCGTATTGCATCGTCGCGCTGCTATGTGACGCGCGCCGCGCCTCGTGTCATGCAAGTTGCCATCAGCTCCCCATCCCTCAGCCTCTGCGTTTGCGTCGCTCATGCACCACGCTCGCGACGCCCGCCAGCTGAGATGCAGCAATGGTGAAAGGATCTGGGGGATCTGCCGTGGCCGGCGATGAGGGGCGGAGCGCCCCGTCACGCTCATCGGCGCCAACGCAGTGGTAGGCTCTATACCCGACCACGCGACAGGGGGCATGCACCCAGAGGAGCAGAACTTTGCAGGTTAATGCTTCAAGCGTTTCTTACACTGCACCCAACAGTGAGCCCCATCTACCTTCCTTGAGGACCCCTCTGGGCATGCGGGCACATGGCTGGCTCCTGGGGCTCGGACGCAGGCCGAGAGACGTGATTGCGTTGTACTCTCTACGACACTACAGGTGCAGCAGCAGGGGATTGACAGGGATATCGATCGGCGGTGCAGCACAGGTTGCAGCCCACCCCTCGGAGTTCACTCCAGAGGCCCCTAGGCCCTACAACATCCCACGTGGCCCGGCGCTGTATGATGACCCTGTGGCCTCGCAGCTATCCAACTACATGCTCACGCAGTTCCGTCCGCCCGACTTCGGTGTCCATGCTGCCGACCATACTTAGGAATGTGACGACCACGTCCGTGAAGCAGTTGAAGTAGCTTTTCCGATCCGTACTACTCCAACGGGCAAGCAGCCACGGCAGAACTGGATGAGCTATGCCTCGCTGAAGCTGCAAGTGGAGAGGGCTCTCTTCCTCGGGCTCCAATTGCAGCTCCTGCGCCGTGTCAATCAGGCAAGCTTGCATGCTTTCTTTTTTGCCTGGCAGCTTTTTTGTGTGCAGCAGCGCCGAGGTGGCAGCATGCCAGATGTGACTGCGCCCTCAGGGCCAACGCCTGCTTTCCAGTGCGTCATATTTTGGACCGTGTAGTTGCAGCGCTCGTGCCCGCGGGGAGGCTCATCCCGCGGGGGGTGGCCTCGCTCCTGCGTCGGCAAGCTCTGATCCGACAGCAGAAGGGCACGCGACGTAGGATGGGACCCCCTATGCTCCATGCTCCGTATGGGTACTCCGGTATAGAGGCCATCATAACGCTGCCCCCATACGGACCTCCTGCAGACCCCCTTTCCGAAAGATCCTTGTGGCCCCCCCGCTACTGGGCTTGTGGGACTTCTTGCAGGGTACCAAGACTTGCCTACTGGCGCATCGGGACCTACTCCTACATCATACGACAGCCCTCATTAGGCAGGCCGCTACTGATGACTCCCTGGCTCACTGTGCTAACCTGGCCAATAAAGTATGCAGTGCCTGGTCCAAACATTACTATGACGTGGTTTTCGCCAAGCTCAGAGGCACGGGCATAGGGTCCAAACAACAACTTCCAGCACGTGCACCACCTGCGGTTGAATTGGAAGACGTGGCCATGGCTACCACGCATGTGGAAGCGGCGGACAGGTGGCTTCGCCACTTCGCAGACGAAGAAGTCATCATTGTGGTCTCAACATGTGAAGCTAATTCGCTTCAGGTTCGACTCCCAGCCCTACCCGACAGCCTCGCGCACAACATTCCGCAGAGCGAAGTTTTTCTTGCCCGCGCTCGCCTCCTTCCAGCAGGCGTGCAAGGCTGCGGGGGCTTCAGCTTCCAGCCTGGATGGTGTCCCAGGCGCGCTGCTCGTGAAGTCTGGCCCCGCCATCGCATCCCACAGTTTCCCAGTAGTGGCAGAATCAGTACTGCGGCTGGGAGAACCACTGCAGTGGACATGAGGGAACTACTGGAACAGGTGGAAACGGAAGGCCAACGAGGCTGAGTGTAAGAACCATCGGGCAGTCGTGATGTCCTCCCAGGTGGGTAAGAACTACCGCAAGCTACTACGCGACCCTATCGCGCGGTCTCCCCCCCTTTTCAGCAGGTGATTCGCAGTGTGGAGGAATCGAGGGGGGAGGAGTCGATCTGCAGCGCTCGCGCTACGCCTGTTTCAAGAGTTAGCGCTTGCAGCGTGCACCTCAGCTCTTTTTGCCATGATTGATGCGGTCTCTGCTCCCTATCGTGCTATTCGGGAGCTAGTCCTGCAGCTTGGCACTAGCGATGCGGAGCTTCGCCACATCCTCCGCGCGGCAGGACTTTCAGCGGCGGGAGTGGGGGACCTCAAGACACACATTGCCACGCATCCCACCTACTTGACTGCGAGTGTTTCCCAACATGTGAGGGCCCTAGTCGCGGACAGCTGCCATTCCATTTGGTTTTGGCACCTGGGGGCCACTTCTGTCGCTTTTACCTTGTCGGGGGCGGTGCCAGGGCAACAACTTGGGGACGTGGCTTTCAGCGACGTTATGTCTGCGTGTGTCAAGGAGGCCCAAGCCGGCCTGAGGGAGCTCGAGCTGGAAAGCAAGATCCCCATCAGTCTCCATAGCAGCCTCCCACAGATGCTCCGATGCCCGCGACAGGCTGCAAGGCGATCCACACATCTGTTTCTTCGACGATGGGGCCTTCGTAGTACTAGGACCTGCCATGCATTTGATGCAGGTGGCACCGAAGGGGGTAGAGATAGTGGCTGCAAGCTTCGTGCGCAGAGGACTACAGCTCAACTTTGCAGAAGGGAAGACAGAGGTGCTGTTTCAACTGCGGGGGAAGGGATCTCGCGCTGCCAAGCATCTTTTGTGGCACGACTTGCAGGATCACTTTGGCATCGACTCACTTTTGCTGGGACAGCTTACTGTAAAAAGCTGTGCGCCGATGCCCACATCTGGGCACCGACCTAGACGAACTCGCATCCATAGGTCCCGAGCTTGCGCGCAGAGAGGCATCAATCCAGCAATCCTCCCAACAGCTGGGGCGACGCATTTTTTCGACTAATCATGCCCTACCAAGGGTGGCGGCCCTACATCTCACGGAGACTCTGCTTTTTCTCTGGCTTGCTCTTCAATGCAGGGACATGGCCGCAACTAACGGCTGCGCAGCACACCCACTTGCAGCATGTGGTGATCAGCAAGTGCCGACAGGCTTTGCGCCGACCGCAAGGCACGCAGGATACAGGGTGCGACATGTATGTCTTAGCACGTGCACAACGAGCTACGCTCACCACAGTTTTGAGGATTCACAGGCTGCGACTACTAGGACGTCTCGTGCATCGCGGTACGTGCACGCTGCGCGGGCTCGTTGCACATGTGTCCCTCACGGCACATGAGCGCCGCGGAACATCATGGCTGCGCCGCATCTTTGATGACCTGGACTGGCTACGCACGGTACATGTTAAGCTGCGCGATATGCCCGGCCCGACTGATGACTTTGCCCAGTGGGAACAGCACATTTTGTGCTCACTATCAGCGTGGCGGCGCACGCTGAATGCCGCCATGCGAGCTGAGGCGACTGCCCAGGCACGAGCTGCCCTTGCATAGAAGGCCCCATATTTTTTGAGATGGTACGGCCTACTGGTGTTCCCGTGCCTATTACAGGCCCGACACATGCACGCTTCCCAACTCCTGCCCCGACTCCCGAATAACTATGTCTGTGGTGTATGTTTCAGGCCACCACTGCTAAGGGACTCCGGCAGCACATCACACGTACACACTACAGCTATGTGGACATCGTCTCGAGATTTATTGGAGAGGGCTCTTTATGCATGTCTTGCTCCACATCCTTCTCTACCAGGCGGGCCCTTCGTAATCTTCTAACCTGCGACGCCCCGCGCTGTTGCCTTGCTTACTTCCTGCACGGCGCCGTGCTCAGTGCCGACCGAGCCGAGGAGCTCAAGCAGCAAGAGGTCAAGGACCTCGCACGACAAAAAAGGGCTGGTCTCGGGCGCTGGAGGAGCGCCTATCCAGCGCGTGTGATCATGCCGCCTGACGGCTGATACCCCGCCGCCATGCTCGTGGCCTCCCACTTCGCTGAGAGCGAGGCACGAGAGCTACTACGTACCCCAGGAGCGTGTGATGAATTTACCGAAGATGCCCTCTCCCAGTGCCAAGCTCTGCCTGCAGATTCCGACAGAGAGGAGACGCAGCCGGCCCAACCACAATTCGCCGACAGATACTGGAGATACCGACCCCAGGACTTCACTGGCTGGGCGATGGAAAAGGTCCCGTGCCGTATCTATCGCACCACCATCTTCGCCCTCAACTTATTTTCAGGCCAGCGTCGACGCGGCGACGTTCAGACTTGGATGGGGGGGTCACTACACATCGGCACAAGATGAAGTCGCCATGCGCAGCGTGGACATTGCCATCAATCCGGGGTTAGGTGACCTCACCAGACAGACCACTATCGACACCTGGACCGAACGCATCCTTGCCATGAGAGTGTGGAACACGGGGGGGGGGGGGGGCACCATGTGAAACATGGGGCGCAGCTAGATGGCTCGAGGGCCCCCCCCTAAGAACCCATGCCTGGGTCTGGGGGCTGCCAGCTGTGACCGACCACCAGTCCCAACAACTCGATGTCAGCAGCAGCCTATGATGGAGCACGGTTCACTTGATTGCGTGTCGCGTCAAAGCTGGCACGAGTGCGTGGATGGAGCACCCAGAGCCAGCATGGTGGCGTACACAAACTCCCTCGAGCTTCTCCTGGGACCCCCTTGAGGCTCTACAATCCAGCCTGGTGTGTTACACGGCCAACTTTGACCTGTGTGTGCATTGCGACTGTAGCCCGGAGGACATTGGGAAGGCCCCCGCAAGGCTCCTAGGATTTCGCATGCCCATCCTGGTCCCGAAGCTGCTCAGTGCTGGAACCCGAGGGCGTTGTAACCACCCCAGGGCAAGACCAACCAGGGGACTTTTCTGACACATCGGAAGAAATCGTACCCGCCCTACATGTGCCGACACATTGCATCAGCCATAGCTGATACTATCAAATCTTAGTTTGCTCCACTATTTGAATGTGACGTGGACGCAGAAGATTCCGACTTCGCTCGTGTCGATGATCTCTGGAGTTTCTACTCTCTGGCTCCAGACAGGGGCCCGTGCTGGCCCATGTCTTTGCTGGCACAGCTTGAGACAACACCTCGCGTTAGCCGACAGAGCTGCGAATCGTATATCTTCTGTCTGCCCCCACCCAAGGACCAAACTGGTAGCCAGCGGCAGTCAGTGCCTTTTGCGCTCAAGGCTTGGCTTGGGGGCAGCCAATCTGCGGCCAACCTGCCTCTAAATTGGTACCGAGTCTTCCGCATGCAGTCGGGCAGCAGCCTCTCTCAGGGGCAACGGTGCCCCTCGCTCTAGGAGGGCCTCCCGACCGAGCGCCCGCCACTCCTGCGGCGCCGCAGGCGGCAGGCTGCCCCGCTCTGCTCGCCCGCTACCCGACCGCTCCGCGGCTCTCGGCGGAATCCTACTTCCCAGGCACCGTTCTCCTTGTTGTTGCGGGCGTTCTTCTGTCCGACTGCATCCGTCCTGGCCATCCGGCGCAAGACTCGGCGTGAGCCTCCTGTCTCTCCCGCGCGCCACGTCAGGGACAGCCGCCCCTGATTTTTGAGCGCAGGCGCTGCATCTGAGCCGAGGGCAGTCACCATGTCGTGGTGAGGTTCGTCCCGAACTGGCACCTGCAGCAACTTGCCGGTGTAGTCACTTGCCACTGGCCAGCCGCAGATATTTGCGGAGGAACGTAGTGTCCAGGGCTCCGGCGACTGGCAAACAGGTCGCAGCCTGACACCACCTGGGTGGCTGCGCGGGCTGCCTGCTTTGCCAACCCTGTCTTTTCGGATATGTCGGCTGCCTCTGGCGATCGACTTGCAGTGTACATAGGGGGCCGCATGCGAACCCTACCCCTGCCCCCCACGATTTCTGGGTGGGAGGGTGGGGTTCACTTCGTTCGGAAGCTCCCGATCGAAGTGAACCTCACCCCCGCCCTCAGACATCGTGGGGCAGGGGTAGGGTTCGCATGTGGCCCCCTATGGGTGCGCCATGAGCCCCCCATGTTTTTTTTTTTTTTTTTTTTTTTTTTTTTTTTTTTTTTTTTTTTTTTTTTTTTTTTTTTTTTTTTTTTTTAATTATATATATATATATATTATTATATATAATATATATAATATATATATATATATATATATATATATATATATATATATATATATATATATATATATTTCTAATAATATTAAAAGAAATGAGAGCCCCATGGCCTGTGGATTCGACGAGCAATGCGAGCCACCTCAGACGTTGCGGGCTCCGCTGGGCCGCTCTGCCCCCGCAGGGAAAGGACATCCGACTTGTTCATTCGGGTCTTGGTGCTTGGTGCCGGCTTTTCGACCCCCGCAGCACCGGAAAGCCGACACCAGCACGTCGAACTTTAATTATCCCGGCAAAGCAACCTAACAGCGATGTGTAGGAGCATATCTGGAAGCATTCCCCTTAAGATTCAGGTGAGAATCCAGTTGTAGAATTCTGCTGTTCTCGCAGTCGTAGTCGCATTCGCGATGACAGTCGCAGTGGCAACGGCAGTCGCAGTCGTAGTCGCATTCGCGATGACAGTCGCACGTCGAATTGTAAAAACAAATTCTTCCTACAGGTGCCACCAGGACTTCCCTGGAGGCCCCCACGGCCTGCGGAGCACCCTTTCGTGCGGCCGGGGGTGCCCCGGGGCCTCCGGAGTGGCGCGGGCAGCTGGGAGCAAAGCCATCTCTTCGAGCACCGATGGTTGGGTCGATCTCGGAGGAGGGAAAGGTACCCATACCTCTCCCCCCTCGCCCAAATTTTCCCTTTTTGGGCCTCCTGGGCGGCCCGCGTCGCCACCGCTGGATTCGCCTCGAAATCCTGGTCAGAACGCACCCCGGGAGAGGTCCGGGGAGGGGCGGTATCGGTACCTTTTGGTCTCCCCACGATCGCCGATGCCATCTGCGATGCGGCGCGAGACGGGGTCGGGTGTTCTCCATCCCGAAGTCGCCGATGCGGCAGCGATGCGGCGCGGTCCTCCGACCCCATATCTGGTCCGGTGTGGCTGGCCTCCAGGGATCAGGATCGGGATCAGGCATGAGGCCTTTTCTCTTCGCTCGGCCTGGGCAGATC